CCGACTCACAGCAACAACTCAATCAGGTAACGACTTTGTGACTCGGGCGTTGGGACATAAGTAGCGTGTACATAGGGTAGAGTAGAGAGTAATACATTTTCTTTTATTGCGCGTCTTGTTGCTTAAGTGTTAGTGTCCTTAATGCTTGCAATGCTTTCAACTTGTGTCTCGCCTCTTCTTTAATATTACAGAGGGTCAGTCTCAGTTGCTCAACGAAGATATTATTCGCCAAATTAAAGAAGTTCATGATGCAGTCATAATAAGTAAACCTGAAACAGTTTCTTTATCGTCCTTTAATACAACCAACTGGCGTGCATTTTTCCGCAAAACGGGCATCAGCATTGAATGGCTTGATAACGAGTTACCAAATGAAGCTACGGATATTGAAACATATACTTGGAGCTATCCCGAAAATCATGAAACACAGCGGCAGAATTACATATCATATCTGCAAAAACATCTTCACCCACTCCCACGGATCTTCAATTTGTCTGGTGGTACAGATGTCATTTTGACTGAAACCCGAAACTGGAATACGAGCTGTCATTGAATTGGTAAGAGCACACAAAGTTGTTGCTTAATGTATAACCATTTATTCTATGCTGACATTCAACATGTACCTGTTAATGTATATCAAACGGTAATGGAGATGATTATTGCGGATATTATTACCACTGACCGTATTTCTGTTATTGGAATTCTCACTGATCTGAAAGATACCTGGAATATCTTTTTGGCTTAATGAGAAAAAGATTATGGGAATTGAATTCACACATCGAAAATCAGCAATGCAATTTATCCATTCAATGGTCTTGGAAAACGAGTGGACCACTGGAAAAAGATACTTACCTTTGTTGGAGCACAGAACAGTAAAAAGGATGAAATTTAATAGCATGTTGGAAATTGAAGGTGAAGCAGTACCAGATGATATTGCTAATATGGAGGACTTTTATGAAGAGATGACAGAGGAGGACATTCGCAAGCATAAGATAGGAAAAGCAGTTAATATTTGCAAGCATAGTCCTTTGTTTGCACATTTTTTTTCCAAACACTCTTTAATATATTCATAAATATAAAATACAGGAACACTTATACTGTCATTCAACCCTTGTGTTTTGCAATGAGGGCTTAACATAAAGCAATAAAATTTGTTAAACCCGATATTGTAATTGTCAACTCTGTTTCATTGTGTACACAAAATAGAAAGTAATTGAATGGCCCTCACTTGGCATAGAGATGATGAAATGCATGAAATTTTCCCTGTATTAGTATGTCAATACTGTAATATAGGGTATTTAGTATCACAAACTCTGATCCTTTGCTAATATGATGTCTGGAAAGTATAGTGTCTTGCTGATGTCCAGCACAATATTTCAAGCCGCTCCAGTAAAGATACTTACTAAAATTATATATAGGACTACCCGTATATGAAAAATGATAATTATAATGGTTCAACCGAATATGAAAAAGCAATATGTTTCCTGGAGATAGGTTGCAACTGTGGTTGCTCTCAAAAGATCCCGAGAGAAAAGTTTGCCGAATTACGTGAAGCATTTCAAGCTCTCTCTAATTCCGAACAAGATATATTTTTAATGGCCCAGCTGAAAGCAATGAATGGCGGAGAAATAAC